GCCGTCGCCGGCGGGATTTTGCCAGTTTGTCGGCGGACAGGTGGGGACGGGCGGGCGTGGCGCGCACGGCGCGACAAGCGGAAACTCAGGTCGGCCGCTGTTCCCGCTCCTCTCCATTCTTCCGCACCTCCAGCCCCGTCGCCTCAGCTCAGCCTTCCCTCCCCGGGTTCGCCCCTGCCCTCCCCTGCCCGTCCAGAGGCCCAGGCAGACCGACCAACTACACGCAACAGCACCAGCTAGCCAGCGGCCCGTCATACTCCAAGTCGACCCGCACCCCGGGCACAGATGCTTGGGGCGACGCAACGCACGACGCGCAGCGAAAAATGCGGGCACTGGCTTCTCCGCGCCAATGAGCTTGAACGCGCGCGCGCTGTCCACCCAGTCGCCCCTCGGAGTAAGACCAAGCATGCCCACCTTTGCATGCGTGCGCCGCGTGCGCACTGTCGACCGAGTCGTCCCCTCGAAGTAAGCACCACGCATGCCTGCCCTTGCATGCGTGTGCCGCGCGGGCCAGTTTTTCATACGGTAGACACGCGCGCACACGCAGCTTCTCACGATGACAATCCTATCAAAGCCCAGACGTTTTCAACGGTCCACGCCGGTCTGGATTAATCATCTTTCCCTCTTCTTTCAACTGTTCTACGGCTCGCCATATAATCAGCATCTACCCGGTCGTCCATCAACCCACGCACGTTACAGAGACACGTGGCCACCTCACAGTCTAAATACTGACTACCTGTGTGCCCGTGCTTCAGGCATGGCCAACGTCGTGGAGAAATAAAGAAGCAATTGTTTTTAAAAAAAGTGAAAAATGAAGCACGCACACACACACACACACACACACGCAAGGAGAAGAAACAAGTCAGCTCAGAGAACTCTTCTGCAGCAACTGACCCAAACCATGATACCTTCAGATCATTTGCTTTGAATTTTCAAGTCTGTGTCTCCCAACATCTTCGACCGTCGCCCGATACTCTGCCGTAATGCCAATCTCTCTCTCTCTCTCTCTCTCTCTCTCTCTCTCTCTCTCTCTCTCTCTCTCTCTCTCTCTCTCTCTCTCACGCGCGCGCGCCCACTCGAAAATCACAAAAAGTTTCCTAGCCCCCATTTGTCCGTTACATGTGCATACTGATCAAACGGTTTTATATATAGGCCGCAACTAACAGCAGACGACGCTGATCAAGGCGCCATCTATAAATCCTGTAACGGGATAAACCCCTGCGCGAACCAGCGACAGACGAGCGCGCGACCCAGTTTTCGTCATACACAAGCTTGAAATTTGAATCGGCGGCGTCGCCGTAGTTTTCAGTTCAATCTTTCCCTCAACACACCATCCTCCCCCCTGATGCCACATTTATCAGCTAACAGTTGTGATTTCCAGAGGCTCCAGAGGCGACCATACGACCTAACCAGTTCAAAGATTAACCAACTGATCATCATTGCAATTAGAACGCGTTTGCAAGCTGCGTGTCAAGTCCGCCCATTCCGCAAACACACTTGTTATACCGATCTGTTTCCCTTTCCCTATCCGTCCATTGATGATTCGTCCATTCTTTGCATTTCACAAGTGTTTGCGTCAGATAGATCTTACTCGTTCCTCGCCAACCGGAGCGCCAACGATCCACGTGATCTGGAGCTGATCCATCGGTCGTCTGTTCAAATCGATAGCCCTGCAAACAGTCAATCGACCAGTCGGCGCGCAACTGCTTTCCAAAGCAAGCGATCAAGTTCGGGTCATGCCACCTCTGCTTTCAGTCTCAGGGCATACTCGCACTAGGACTTTTTCTACTAGACTCTGGACGTGATTTCCGGTCAGAGTCATCCAGCTGTGGCCGTAATTGTAGTCAGATAAACTTAGGAAAGTACTAGTGTGAGTATGCCCTGAAATTGCAGCAAACGACTTCGCAGTTGTTCCGCGTTCCGATCATTCCGCCATCCCATTCGATCGTGCCGTCCCTTTAGAGACCCGGTCTTCCTAAAATACCAACGGCAAGGCTGTCTCGCGGCTCAAACCAGCTGATCTGCCGTCCTTGTCTATTAACCGTGTAGATAAAAAATGGACAGGGGCGGCTTCAACCACGCTCGCACAGTCCCAATATGCGCGTACACGAGAAAAGTTGCCCCTTTCTCGACCCTGTCATATCTATAGGTATCAGTAAGATCTCGAGCAGAAGGGTGCATACATCCCCCTTGTCCTCCTTGTCTCTACTGACCTCTCGACACACCCTTAGAATCAAACACCGACCTAAACATCGTACGTCCCTCGGTTGACAAACAATCAAGAGCACAAAGGCATTTCCTTCGCCTACGGCTATAAGATAGCGGCACGGCTTCGACAGCCGTTACGTCTTTCATTCCTTCTTCGTCTTCTTCTTCTTGGACTTGTTAGACCGCATCGCAATTAGGATGGAATGATGACCATGTCACCCATAACAGCTCAATGAACGAGATTACCTCCATCATGCGAGAATAAACGATGGGGTTCCATCGTCCACCCCAATGAGATTAACTGGGGGATTAGATTGAACTTCACAAGGAAGGACTCTGTTGTTAAAGTTTGGGCTCTATTATATTATTTTCCGGTTTTCCGTATTTTGTGTACTAGCTCAAATAATCGATTTATCGATCAATATGCGTCCTCAAAATGTCAATCAAGGTTGATGCCGCCACACCAAGCAGCGTGAGCAGTTAAACAACCGTCCAGAAAAAGAACCTGAAAAGATTGGACGGGCGCCGTCATGAATTACTAGAATGATTGACGGGAACACAAAGATGAGGCGGAGAGGGTTGGCAGGCTAAGAATCACCGATGTTTAGGATCTGATCTGGTTGATGTGATGGGATTGGCTAAGAATGCATATGCTTGCTTGATTGATCAGCTCATCGCTAGTAATTACTGTGAACTTCTCTGCTTGCGCACAACCCCCTTCGAGGCGAGTACGAGACCCAACAGACAACACAACGAACTCACACTCCGATCCGTCGTGCTTCGATTCCGATCATCAGAGAAGTTAGTTATTAGTAGTTTATCGTCTCTCGCCCGCCATTGCCGTGAATGAAGGGCGGGTAAACCCCTCCTCCTCCCTACCCCCCCCCCCCCCTCTCTTCCCCCTTCAGTTTGAAGATAACTTACCGCCTTTCACGGCCGTCGATTCCAACCCCTCACAATCAACGCTCCTGTCTGTCAGTATGTCCTTGGGATACTTGGACGAAATTGTCAACATCAAATCTTTCTATCTTCCTCCTTCGCCAGCGCGCCAATCAAACATGCTGGAGGATTGGCTTCCCCGCAGCAAGAATATATGGAGAATTCACTTGCCCCTTACTCACCGGCTCCTCCTTCCCCCTTCTCTAATCCATCACTACTCCGCTCATGTTAGCTCTCAAAACTCCACACACAACCGCCACCACTACAAAAACCAATGGCTTAAACCCCATCAACTTGTCCATAAGATTGGCGCAGCGTCGATACACGCGGGGAGAGAAGAAAACAGGATAGTGACTGAGAACCTGACCCACACCCGAGGTAGCCTGTACAAGCAGCGCAACCAAAGCGCGCAAAACCGCTCGCTCGCTCGCTTGCGAACACAATTTACTGCACCAACCCCGGCGCTCGGAATGCCGAGCGCAGACGCCCGGGGTCGATCAATCATTCCATTCAATATGCAGTGCGACCAAACCAACAAGCATTGAGAAATTGGGGGAAGGTCACCACGCAACAGGAAGGAATGGAGAAGACGCCATCGTCGTGTCATCGCGACAAGCACCATCGTGTCAAGCGCATCCTTTTTCTGACGTCAGAGCGCTTCGTGTTATCAGAGCGGATCAGAGCCCAGGGAGAACGTGGACCGCAGGCATACGGCTAAGGAGCGCGAAAGAACGCAGAAGGCGGGATCAAGCTGCGAGAGAAGAACGGATGAAATTTTGCACTGGTTGGTCACTAGATTGAGATGAGAACCTCAGTCTGATCAGGAACCCTTTCGAGCACGAAACGACAGTGTGGTTGTATCGTGAGCGCACACGCCCAATCCATGCATGCGATAGAGACTCGGATTGTGGAATGTTCCGCAGTCGAAAACAGAGAAAGACGAACACGAATTGCTAAGATCGAGAATGGAAAAAGAAGAGAGAAAGACGAACACGAATTGCTAGGATCGAGAATGGAAAAAAAAAAAAGACAGCAAATTTCTCCAATAGAATTGGACATCGAGCGCAACAGACACGGAGGAGGGACACAAGAGCTTTGCGAGGCAAGGCAGAGCACACGGACGGAACGGCGGCATGACCAAGAACGAGGGAGAAACTGAACAGATCGCGTTCAGAGAAAAGCGCGCCTAGTCCCGCGGCCAAGACAGAAACAGAAACTCGGATAAACAACGGATATGTCTGTGCGTGGACGGACCGACGGGGGGATGACGAAAACCGTACAAACCACAGCGAACAAAGAAAGATTGGCTATGGCGGCGCAGTCGTCGCGTGGGTAACACTGTACTCCGCCCTCGCTGCACCAGCTACTAAGCTCCGTCCATCAATTTGGAAGCCAGATGCGACCAGCACGTCGCTAACGCAGCAGAGAGGTGTGGAATGGAAACGATAAGCTCAAATCCTCTATAAGGGGGTTCGCGCGCCCGCACCTATTATAGTTCGAAGTAGATGCAACAGACGAACTCTGTCTGAGAAAAATTTTGACAAGAGTTAGCCTGAAGGCGAGGGGATGGAGAAGGATGCGCGGGGGGGGGGGGCTGACAGGTCATCAGACAACGAACGCGCAAACACGTACCATGGAGCGGGGCACGATGGAGAGGAATGACGAATGACTTGAAGTGAATTGCCTTGAAAGAAGGATACAGATATAGGAATCGTCAACACATTCACCCATCGTAGATAAAAAATTGATAGCAAACAGATACAGTATGCCTGACTACCCACTCACCCACTCAGCCTGAGAACCAGAACCCAGAGAGGCTTCCTTGGCCTCACCGCCCTGCGCAGACCACCTACCCTATCTCGTCGCCGATTCGCAGTAGGTCCATAATACATAACACAGAGCCGTTGCGCCTGTCCTCTTTGCCGAACGGAGGCGGGCGCATCCTGCAACGGATCAACGACCCTGGCTGGCCAGAAAGGATCGTGTTTCTGGCCGGATTTGGCCCAAACGACGTCCCCAACGTCGTACTCTGCTAGCGACGGATCCCTGCGCGGCGCAGCGATTCCCTCCTCATCTTGCTGCTTGGCGAGTAAGTTGTCAGCCTCGTCGGGGTCCATTGCCTCCCCCCCTTCGTCAAACTCCACGTGGCGACCGTTCCCCATGACAGCGCGACCTCCTCGGCGTACATTATTGTTTCCCAAGCTACCACCTTCTGCTGCTCCTGCCGTCGGCGCTACATCGTCGTCCTCTGTCGCTTCATCGTCCTCCTCCGATGACTCCGCTGTCCTCTGCTTCTCCCCATTCCGATTGACTTCACGCCGTTTCGCCGGCTGCGCCGCCACGTCCCCCGTTCTCGCGATCAACCGCTTCTTGATCTCCGCCTCCCTGTTCCACAGCTGCGCCTGCGAAGCTCCACCCCCCCCTCCTAACGGTCTTCCCGCGGTGGCGCTGTTGTCAATCCGCCCGTTGCCAACTCCTCCTCCTCCCCTACCATTCATCTTTTTAGTCGAAACGCCGCCTCCTCCTCGCTTCGGACCACATACTGCGCCGCCATTGCTCCCTGGTACAGTTGCTGTTGCAACTCTCCCAGAACCCCCGCTCCCTAGCGAGCCGCCTCTCCCACCGTCCTGGGATCCTCTCGGCTCGTTATGACTGTGCGCCGCGGTTGCCTCCACCTCATTCTCCAAGCTAGCGTCACTCTTCAGCTCTTCCTGGCCAGCCGTAATCACGCTCCCAGCTCCCAGTAAGGCCACGTTTCCTCTCCTCTCTTTCCGCCTCTTTGTGCCGTTGCTTTGTTGGTTTCTTTCCCCGCCGCCAGCGAGTCCAACCGACATCGCCGGGTGCGATCCTTTCTCCCGACCTGCTGTAACTGCGCTCTCTCCCCCCCGTCCCCCCACCGAAGACCTCCTCCCCCCAGCCGCTAATACCGTCGTGCCGCCACTACCAGCAACCGCCGCCTCCCCTTCTCTACCGACCCCGCGGCTTTCTGAATCTTCTGCGCCGCCGCCGCCTCCCCCAATCCCCTTAAACGAAGAGCTCCCGCTCCGGTTGAACACCGCGTTCAACCTTCTCTCCGCCGAGACGTATCCATTCGCCCTGCTGCTGCTGCTGCCGATGCCTCCACCGCTCCTCGGAACAGCCGCGCACGCCCGTGGCATCACCCTCTGCCCCTCGACTCCGGACCATGTCCCTCCCTCGTTCCCATTGCTTCTCAAATGCTCGCTTGCTGCAGCCGCAAGCAGAGAGAAGCCATCGATCGCGGAGCACGTCGCCCCACCCCCCTTTCCAACAGCATTATGCAGAAGCCCCCTGCCGCCACTGGCCCCAACCGTCGCCGCTGCAGGAGCTTGCCTCACGACCGTGCTGGCGGAGGTCTCTGCGCCGCCGCCAGCGCCTACCCGTGAACCTTCTCTCGACCCGCTTCGCCCCCCGCCGCTCACTCCACCGCCGCCTCTCTTTTGTCTTCCGCCCGCCACGGCCACCCCTCCGCGGCTGTCCTCTCCCACCTCTTCCGCGCCCGATCTCAGGCTGCGCTTCTCTTCGCCGCCACTCTCGCTCTTCGCCGCCGCAGCCGCACACTTTGACCCCCCCTCCATGCTCGGGTCGCAGCAAGCGATCCCATTCTCCGAAACGCTCACCCCCCGCGCGCGGCACCTAATCTGCTCTGATACGCCTTCTGACACGAGTGCCGCAGGTTCCGCAGCCGCGCGCTCCGCCTCTACGCTGCTAACTACCGTCCTTTTCCGTCTTTGAGATACAGCGGCGCTCCTGCTTGAAACCTCACGCGCCGGCACGCTTCCTCCCACCACCCCCGCGGCCGCCATGTTGATCTGCAATTCCCCTCCGATGCGAGGTTCGTCTCCCTCATGCGCTTCTCTCCTTCCTCCTTCGCTCCCCTCCTCCTCCTTCGCTGCGTCCCCTTCCCCCTCCACCTCCATCGCCCCACGGTCAGCAATCGTCTCCCCTCCTTCGCACGTCTTTTCTTCACCTCTTGCCGTGTCTGCGCCCCCGACAACCACCCCTTCAGCCGCCACGGCAGCAACAGCAGTAGTCAAACGAACAGGGGATCTATCCCTTCCCGTTCTTCTCAGGGCGCTTGCCCCTGCTCCATTCACCACCCTCGTCGAGCTCCGCAACCACGTCGAGGTCCCCAATTCCGATCTCGACGTCACCATCTCCGAATTCTTTGGCGATTTCGTCTCCTCCTCCTCTGGCTTCGACCCCGTTCCCCCCACTATCCCAGCCGGCGCCGGCCCGTCAAAAGCGGTGCCGCACGTTGCCTGAGGAGCGCAATCGTCGCCCTTGCGCTCCAAAGCCTCTTGCTCGCCCTTCCTGGCCTCCTCTTTCGGCCCGTTCTCCTTGTCGGAAAACATCTCGGCCACCAAGGCCAGCCCTTGCATGCCCAGGTTTGGATCGCTCAAGCCTTTCTTGCCCTCCGTGCCTCCCGCTGCTTGGAATTTGTCCGCCGCCGAATTGCCGCCGCTTCCGCCAGCTCTGCGTGTGACCTCCATTGTCGCTAGGGACGTTGCTAAAGTCGTCGCCTGCGGCGCCGCCGCCGCAGGCGTCATCTGGTTTGCCGTCTGCGTAACGATCTCCGTCAACTCCTTTCCGCAATCAACCCCACTCCCGGCATTGCAGGACAGGGATTCTACTGGCAGGCTGGCGAGCATTTCATGACCTTCCTCGTAAACCTCCGCCTCTTCCTTGCCCCCTTCCACCTCGTCCTCATCATCTACCTCCACGTCTTCCTCCTCCTCCACCTTTGACAGCTGTGCATGGTGTTCAAGCGAAGGCCCACCGTGCCAACCAGCGCCTGACGCTCCCATCATAGAGCCTAAGCCCCCTCCGCCTTGTCTCCCCACCCCGTTCATTGTCCCTCCTCGCACCGCCATCAGTTGTTCATGTGGCTGCTGCCGGGGCGACCTTGCGCTCGCACCACAGCTCATCACTGAGCCCCCCTGCATACGCCCACTGGTCCTTACTCCGTAAAGATCTGGCGCTAATGACAACTGTAGCATCACCCCACTCTGCGCCGTCGTTTCATTCGGTCGCGGACACCAGTTGCCGCTTTCCGGCAGTGCGACCAGCGACTGCGGGGCGGGCGGCGCGCACATAGCCGTCTGGAATTTGATCGTCGGTGTGTCCATGTCGCCGCCGTCACCACATCCGCCACGGAACCCCGCTGTCACCGAAGATGAAGGAGCGTCTGCATCTGCCATCACCATCGCGCTATTGGTCGCCTTCTCCGGAGCGCTGCAAGTTGCCATAGCCCGCAACCAGAACGGAGACGTTCCCCCATCATCCATGGCCGAATTCTCGCTGACATGCTTCACCCCTCTCTTCGCCGCCGCCAAGATCGCGAATGTATCCGCCGCGCTCACCATCCTCACCTACTCTTTGACTTAAAATATACAACTTTTGCCACCCGCTGCTCTTCTTCTTGTTAACACTATTGCTCTTTTTCCTATTCCTATGTTGCTGCCCCTGCTGCTTGCTGTGGCAACTTCTGTCTGCTCTAGCGACGACGACGCGCCTCGAAAGATTTCCCCCTCATCAAGCAGGCACGTCCCTCAGACGAAGATCCCCCCGCGCCACGCAACCACTGGTCCTCCTCCACCCTCTCAAGCTCCTCTTGAGTAATCCTCCCCGGCGGCGTGCAGTCCTCCCTGTTGTACGATTGCCACCGTCCATCTCATCTTCCTCTATCTGCAATCATGCCTTCGCTCATTCAGTCACCTCCAAAAGTCACGCTCCCCGTCGTTCATCTCGATCTATTCCCGTCGTGCGCATGATGTCACAGCGCGGATTTCGTCGTGGCCGCCGTTACTCCGCCGTCGACTGCCTCGCGGTGGCGTTGATCCGCTCCTCCTATGAATCTTGCGGCCACACACAAATTGCTCGAACACGGCTTCACCGAACACCTGCCATGCCAGTCCCACCGTTGACCCCGTCGCGACATCGCTTTCCACCTTCCTTTCTCGCTGATTGCAGCAGGCTCATGCCTACCATCCGCGCTCACGCTAACTTGTCCTGCGGTTGGCCAGTCATTCATCTGCGGCGAAGAACCTTGTCCAGGGCCTGGATTGCCCCGCGAAGACCAGGCGGCTACTCTGCCGACTCGCAACCACCGAGCACAGCAGCCACCTGCAGTCCATCGTATCTCGCCATCGCGCTGCTCGCACACCCGCTCAGCTCATTCGTCCTACAAAACACTGGATCGCCATGTCAAACAGTTTGCGCACATTCTCTCTTAGTTTGTGGAGCAGAAATCTTAGATGTCCATGACTGATTATGGATGACCCGCGAGTGTTGGCTTCAGATCTGAGCGAAGGCAAGGAGCAGTCCTCGTACGGCGAGGCGCATTGTGAGATGTTCGAACAGCGATCTCTCGACTGCGCTGGGGAGCCGACAGGGGGGCTACCCTCTCTCCTTGCACCCGCACTTCACTGATGCAGGCGCTGGTATGCTGAAGAACGCCGTGTTCAAAACTCAGCGCACCCTGATCGCGTTCACATTGTCAAAAACAATGCTGAATTTCTCGCTCCTTCTTACGCTGCTGTGGCTGCAATTCCAAACCTTCCAGCGTCGCGCCGCTCAATTTCTCCCCCTCCAAGAGATGTCCGGCGACGCTCGGACACGGACAGAGAAGAGCGAGGGCCAGCTCGCCACATCATCGCCCACTCGGCGCCCTCCCCATGCCAACTCTACCGGTCCTAACGAAAACCAAGGTGCAAACAAAACATTGCTTGAAGAGAAATAGATACGTCTTCTTTTATTTTTTATTATCCTTTTGTCTATTTTCCTGTTTTTCACTCCTTTTGAACCGGCATTCGTTCGACAGCAGACGTAGCGCGAACAGGACCTTCCTCCCCTCCTAACAACGGTAGATTGGCTGGACAGACATTCTCACCCCCCCCCACAAAATGACATCCTGCATGCCCAGGCTAGTTACCATATTATGACAAACCCAACCTCCACCTAAAAGGGTCCCGGTTATTTGCAACTACCCGTAGCCTCACAAGGATGGGTGTGAGTAGTTTTCAGCACCACACCCAACCTAGCTGGAGAGCTTCACCGGATTTGAAATAGGTTTGACAGGGGCGGAACAAGAATGAGAGAGGGACAGAGGGGAGAGAGTTTGCAGCCCGTCAGGGTTGCTTTTTTCCCCCCTGAGACATTTCAACGTCATTGAAATTTCAACGTCGGTGGTCGTTCGGGAGGGTGGGCATTTTGAGGTTTCGGGGCTTAGCAAGGGGAGGGGCATGCGAAGGACCAGTAGCTTCCCGTAGGAGGCCGAGGAGGCCGGTCCTTGAGTTTTGAACATTCCGAAATCGAAACGTTGTGGGTCCATTTTTATCAAATAGAAGAGCAGTTCGGATAGAACACGTGCGCGTTGTGTTCAAATACAAAATGTACCCTCTATACTCGAATTTCAAAAAGCAAAAACTTTTGTGTTTCAATCGCATATTACGTTATCTTTTTTTTTGGGAGGTGAGCGCCTGACCTTGTGCTCCCCGCCATTGACATGATGCATGCTGCAGGGCTCTCTCTCTCTCTCTCTCTCTCTCTCTCTCTCTCTCTCTCTCTCTCTCTCTCTCTC